ACAACCCTTATATCTCGACAGATATATATATATATATATGTTACAGCTTATATATGGTGTATATATATGTTATACTTTATATATATATATGTCATATAGGTATATATACCTTATCTATCTTACCATATATGTTAAATCTTATATCCTCCAACAGCTTAATTCACCCTAAGAAATGCTTTACATATATTTCTAGTTATACACTACATTTTAAATATTTTTCAAATGGCTGTGTAAGAGTAAAATTCATACATATAAAGTGATTAATATACTTTTTTTAAGTCTAGAGAGTCATCATGTATACACACACATAAAACATCATTATCAGTAACATGAGAAAAATCAGGAATATAAAATGAAACAGATACAGAAAATTAAATGTTATGAGTCCATTTAAGATTTGTAGTGTGCACAAAGTATCTCCAGTTGCCTGACTCTTGGGTTACATTTTCCTTCCCACACAAATGAAACAACTGTGGCCTTTTCAGACCACAGCCTCACCAACTGGCTAGCAGGTGGGTGAAGAGATTCTGTCTTTCCAACTCAAGTTGAAGAAACTTTCCATCTGCTTTGTCTCTGCACAAAATGTTCACAAATGTGAAGTAATACACAGTGGACTAAAAAACAATAAGCTCAAGAAGAAAAATAATGAACTTGATCAAAACTGGAAGAACTATAAACTCACTTCCACCCTAAAGATATCCAAACAACCTAAGGACTCTATTATAAAATGAACATCATGTTCAGAAAACAGGAAGGAACAGCAAGACATAAATCAAATAAAAATATCATGAGGCTATGCTTTGGAAAACTGCATGACTTGTAAAATCTTTTGTGTACTGAGTTCTGTTCCTACAGCTCTTTATAGAGCTTGATAACTCCAGGGATCCTAAAGGACAAAAAACACCCACATGTCCATAACCAACACAGGTCTTTTTAGCAAGTGCCCAAGGTGGCCATCTGATTAAAAAGCAGATTTTTGACACTCAAGAAAGAAATCAGCCATACTCTGTACTTTACAGGGAACAGGAAAAGAAATTTCATGTGAACTCGACATGAAATACAACATCAGGAAAGGTATTATAAAACATTCACTGTGCTCAGGTTACAACATGTAAGCTTTTGTCAGTGTAATGTTCACAAGCATGTACAATGGTCTGCAAAGAGATGATCAATAAGGATAGAAACATCCCCTTGGGTATCAAGAAATTATTAGATGTCATGGAGTGGCCAGAAAGGACAGAAAACTGAAGACAAAACACAGAATTGAAGGGCTTTGACTCCTCTCCTGTATTCCTATGAGGTATTAGTGTAAAACATGCCTGGGCTATGGCAGGGAATCACATGTACAGTCCTTCAGTTGAAGTCTGTTAACAGCAATGTACCAGAGGACAGGGATATCCTATGCACCTCCAGCAACGTGCTTTTAAATGGGATACAACAGGGCAGTGACTATTTTAAACAAACATCAGCTCTAAAAACTGTAAGAAGAGACAGGCTTTGCATCTGCAACAGACATCGTCAGGTTAAACATTTTTTTCCTGAGCAAGTATACTCTGAACACCTACGAGCATATGGTGGGCATAAAGCTTTAGCATTCTTCCAGTAGCACCACAGACACGGGTAAAAGAGAGCTGGGACTTCTATAATTTAGATTAATTGCTTATTATGTGTATGAGGAGAGGTGCTGTGGGAATACTACGGCCTCAAATAACAACTGAGAGCAGCCATTTGAGCCGACGTAATCCCCCGAGCCCTCGAGGCTCAGTCGCAGCAATACTGGCAGGGATCCGACTGCATCTCTCCTTCTCGAGGAGCTGCCCTGACTCACTACCCTTTCGTATCAGTTACATATTTCTACACAGAAGGGCTACGGCAAGACCCAAACCCATTTTAAGTCTGGCTTCTCGTTTTTCTCTGTCAGTTTGTCAGAAAGTGATGCTGGGCCTCCAGTGCTCAGTCCCTGGCCAGAACCATCGGCTCCTGCTGCAAATGGAGAGCACGTTACCTGCCTGCAGTGCTTCTCTGCAGGACATGAAAGGGTTGAGAAGCCATCTGCAGCTTTTCAGCAGGTCTGAGGTTTGAGATTAGTCAGTTTTGGCAATGGTTACACAGGGGGCGATTGCAGACTTCCAAATCTGCAGAGGACAGACCAGCACCCCTCATTCTGTCATACTCAGTTCTTGGTCATACTCAAGTTTAAGGGACAGACTGGGTTGGTCTGCAGGCACCAATGAGGGGAGAGTGAGATAGATCACAGATCAAATATTTCCTGAACTGCAACCACAAATCAAACATTTCCTGAACTGCAACAAATGCCTTCACAGAGGGGAAGGGCTTGGGCTCACCCATGCCAGTGTGCCCACCACCCAGACTCCAAAGGCCTCCATCTGACCAGGGAGTGAGGAGCTTCAGAGAGGGAGAGATACTGGCACTGCTTGGAAATGCAAGGTGTGCAAGGATCTAACATCAGAAAGGTAATCGGAAAGAAGGGAATAAAAATCGCCTTGGACATTTCCCTCCTCAGAAATGTCCTCCATACCAAATCCAGAGCAGCAGCCTGCCATGAGGAGCATTCTGCTGAGATTCACCTAAAACATCTGTGAGAAGGCCTCGATCAAGCTAGCAGCCTCCTTCCTTCACCATGTGGTGCCATGAGCAGAGAGCATGGCATCACGGTACGGATGTGGAGCATCTGCTGCCCGCACCAGAAAAGCATATAAAGATATAAGAGCAAAGAGAGCAAGCGAGAGACAGGAGAGAGCAGCACTGTGGTGCTCGTGTGCAGAACCCATCAGGTGCAAACAGTACTCGGACTAAATTTGATCTCCATCAGAGGATATCACCTTTTACTGGTTATGAACAGGTAACTGGAAACGATGGTTCAACACTGTTGTCAGCTCTGCTGTGTTTTAACTGCTTAACTAGAAGGACAGTAAACAGGCAATGTTTTGCTTGTCTTTGGAATGCAAAATATGCAGCACTGGTTTCTGCAACCAAATCCCTACAAAATCATTATTTGAACCAACCATTTGCCAAGTAAGTGCGCAAGAGGTTTAGAAGAAATGTGCTTGACTGAGAAGGCAGCGTTTAAACAATTTGGTTTTTTTTTCCCAAAAAAATTTTTGTGGGTTTTTTTGTTTGCTTTCTGTTACCTAATAGGCAACAGAAATAATTGCTTTAATAAGCATTTTGGTTTCCTATGTGCTACATGCTCATCAGTCAAATTACTGAAACATAATTACTGTGCAAGGAGCCTTCTCTCATTCCATATTTTTAAAAGCAAAGAGCATTAGAACGGTCACCTTCCTCCCCTCATCTCTCCTTTCTTTTTCTTGTCTCTGGAGTGGCAGTAGGAGATAATTAGAATGGCCAGTCTCTAGCTCAGGATGCAACACAATGCCAGGGGCCAGGAAAGAGGAGGTGAAGTCCATGTCACCTGCACAGCAGGGCTGCACTATCAATGCAGTTCTTCCTGCTGCCTTTGCTCCATTTCCCTTCTGTGCCTTCCCATTCAATTGCCATGGTGAGATGTGTGCTCCCTTACAAGGCCTGAGAGGAATCACAGAATAACAGAATGTCAGGGGTTGGAAGGGACCTCAAAAGATCATCTAGTCCAGCCCCCCTGCCAGAGCAGGATCACCTACAGTAGGTCACACAGGAATGTGTCCAGACAGGGTTTGAATGTCCCCAGAGAAGGAGACTCCACAACCTCCCTGGGCAGCCTGGGCCAGTGCTCTGTCACCCTCACAGTGAAAAAGCTTTTCCTAATATTTTTGTGGAACCTCCTACGTTCCAGCTTGTATCCATTGCCTCATGTCCTATCATTGGACATCACTGAGAAGAGCCTGGCTCCGTCCTCCTGACACTCACCCTTTACTCCTGACACTCACCTTCTTCTCCAAGCTAAAGAGACCCAGCTGCTTCAGCCTTTCCTCATAAGGGAGATGTTCCACTCCCTTCATCATCTTTGTGGCTCTGCGCTGGACTCTCTCAAGCAGTTCCCTGTCTCTCTTGAGCTGAGGGGCCCAGAACTGGACACGGTATTCCAGATGAATGTTTTGCTGTGTTTCTTTTTGCAGCTTACTCATGTCACACTGGTCATGGAAACACCCTCCAAGACCTGGGTCTGAAGAATCAGAGAAGCGGAATGAACTTCTCCCTGACTCTGCCTGCTTTGCAGGCAGAGGATTTTGCACTAGTATTCATGCTAAAAGTAATTTTAAATCTTTTCAGATCACTTCAGCAAGAGTATGACATTTTTTGTGTTACATAAACCCATTCGCTTAAACCCTACTTAACCAAAACTCCTGTTTCACCACATCCTCATTATGTCTTCAGCCGTCAACACACTCCTCAGTTACTCTCTCTCAAAGAGATAATTCTTAGCTCATCATAATAATGTTCTAGAGTGTGTTGAATAACCAGGATTATAAATGAATGTTTTTAATGCAATTTGAAATATTGCACAGCTTGGAAATAAATTCCTGTTTAAGGCACTGATCTAACAGGGAACAGAAATGCATTTTTAAGTTTGTGAGTCCTACTAAAACTAAAATGATTATTCATATGATTAAAGCAAAGGTGATTTGTCAGGGCAGAGAATAAGAGCGTAGGATATGTGTCTGGATCTAATTTAGAAAGATACTTAGGAATATCGCTAGTTGTAACTTATGAAACACTAAGCACTTAAACCACCACATAATGTCAGAAGGAAAACGAAGATCATAACACGATGGCCAAATTTGTCATCTATGATTTTCTCCCAAACTGCTGCTCAGTCTTGCAATGTGTTTCACAGGCCTAGCCTAACGGCTTTTCACAATTTGAATAAACAATAGTTAATTTAATAAAAATAACAGCAATAATAATAATTATATTAAATCCCTCTCCTGAAGGGGTAGTCAGGAAACTTTCTCTAGCTTTCAGGATTGCAAACAGTGACGGTTAAAAGTTGAAGATGTGGGTGAACAAACTAAACAATTTCTAATTATGGAACTTGAAGAGATTCAAAGACATTTATTTATGTGCAATGTAAGATCTAATGCGTTACCTTGCCGCCGCGTTGGTGATTATTTTCAGACTGCTGGGATTACGGATCAGTTTATCCAGGATGCTGACAATCTGCTCAAACTTGGGTCTGTTGTTTCTGTCTTTCTGCCAGCAGTCCAGCATCAGTTGATACAAGGCAGCTGGGCAGTCCATAGGAGGTGGCAAGCGATACCCTTCATCAACAGCCTTAATCACCTGCACAAGGATAAAAGTTTTTGAAAACTTACAGGCATTTAAATCAACTGGTTTTTATCAGTTCTGTGAACCACATTAACATGGACGTTATGTGTTTAAACAAATGTGTTTATTCACTAATTGTCTTGTCGTGCAATGCCTCTGGTTTTATCTGCAAAGTAAACCAGGCAGTAAATTAGGCATACAGAAAGGGGAGTTAAGATACAGTATATGACTTTGAGGAAGGTGAGAGTCTAGAAAGGTTCTCCAAAATTCACACTTGATGGAACTAAATTCATATACAAAAGCTATAGTTAGCAAGCTGTTTGCCTAACTATGCCAGACTTCAGAAAGCCTTAAATATCTCTCATCTGGTCGCCCTTAGCAACACACATTTTCCACACTCTCCAGTGGATATTGCACTCAGCAGAAAACCAGCCCATCCTCTCATGGGACATCCTGAACTGATAGATAATGTTTTGTGGATGATCTCACAGGGCCTGAAAATACTTTTAAAACTTACCATGAAGATAACTGTACACTTCCTACGAGGCAGCGCAGGCCCAATTCTTCTATCATTTGTCTAGATTGACAAAATTTGTCTAGATTGTGTACCATTTGTCTAGATTTACCAAAAAAAAAAATAATCCCAGAACTTACATTGTTACGAAGCTTTATAATACAACCTCTTCATAACACTATAACATCGTCTCCATCAGCCCTACAGTATCTGCTGCACCATGAATAAAAAACAATGTATTCTAAGCAGAAAATTATAAAGCCATATTCTGTTAATCCTTCTTTTTATATGGATCGGTTAACTCAAAAGCAGGACAAACTATTCTGAGTCAGAACAGGAATAGGAAAACAGTCCATGGTTTAAATAGCCGTGAAGGAGAGGCACATAAATAGATCAATCCTTCTGTTTCTGATTTTAATGTGATGTTATCAAAAGCATTTCACTGGTATATCATCTTAACTAACACGATCCATTAATCTCCACAAGCAACAGAAAAAACATTCATGACTAATTAACAGAGAGAGTTTTCTGCAGAGACTTGGGTTCTGGAGATACTAATTTTAAAGGAAGTTTTCTTCTCTTTTTCCTTGTTTAACATAAAGTAGCGTAGAAAATGTCTGACTACAACTATGTTACTGATTTTTTAATTTAGTACTGGTAACAATATATAGCAAACCCTTGGAAAATCTATTTGTGCTAGTGACTGTACTTCAGAAAATTTGGTTCATAAATAACTGCTGTGGAAAAAATCTAGGATTAATAAGATGACAGAAGAAGAACCCAAAATAGATATATATAAAAATCTTATTTGGGGAAATGTTCTGCCTCTTAGAAAAATTCTGGGAGAGATCTATTAATCATTTGGATTGCAGGCTTGGATAGTTTACTAATGTTGCAAAGAAGCCTGTATTGGAAATCTTCTAATCAGATCACTCTACTTCTCCATTTTATCCGTTGATTACTTCCAGAAGTATTTTGGTTTCATTAAACTCGGTAGAAATGCTTTGGTTCTCTTTTTCACAGGCACCAAGAGCAATTTATTCTGTGTATTTGACATTCACAGAAAACTTCTACAGAATGTTATACAAGTGGAACCAAAGGGGATCAACAGAAATTTAGGAGGGTTTTCTAACAATAGGCTAAGGCATGTAAAATGTAATGACCTCATTGCAGTGGAATTGTTTGAATCATCCTACAGAAAACCACCAGCGTGGTAAAACTCTCTAATATGTTCCTTCAGAGGCCCAAAATACCCTGCTATAAAGATGCTGGCTTTTTGTTAAGTTCATTAGAACTTTTACTTGACCAAGGAGATTTGGAGATTTTCTTTCCTACATCTTATTCAATGTCAACGTCAAAAACATAGAGCCACCGGTTTCATTATGCTTCACTTCCTTTCACAGCTTGATCCTTTATTTGAGAATGTAACTCAGATAACAATATACTCACATCCTGGTTGGACATCTCCCAGTACGGTCTCTCTCCATAAGACATCACCTCCCAGAGAACAATCCCATAGCTCCACGCATCGCTAGCTGATGTGAACTTCCGATATGCAATGGCTTCTGGTGATGTCCATCGGATAGGAATCTTACCCCCCTGGGGGCAAAACAAGATAAAACAGTCCATTTGACTGTGATACAATGAATTTAATTTTGCACGAATGTTTTTTTTAATCTCTGGGATTCTTAATTATCTTCGTATTGGTGTAAAAAACAGCATAAACTGGAAAACATTATTGTCATTTGTCATGAAAGCATCTTGTACACTACAAAGAGTAACATACATCACAGTGAAAAATCTACTGAAACTACAGATATATATACTAGATACATAATAGATACACTGTATGCATGTATATATATACATATATGCACAAATATATATATGTGTAGCATAATATGCATAGACAATAAATAGTAAGTTAAGTATGGTTGATTTTCAGTTATGAAATGTTTGGAAACTGACAGGACAGTCATACAGCACTAAGGATGAGAAATGCAGTACGAGGACCTTGTTTATACCCTAGAACCCTTTGCACAGCACAGGAAGGCTGGATCTGGCTATTTGTAAGGCATTTCAAGTGAATTCCACGTTGGTGTGAAACCTGCATAGTTTCACCATGTTTTTACCTCTGTATTCTGTGACATTTAAGGAAAATGAGGGGCGACGATGTTGCTCTGTTTCACAGTCACTATGACACAAATTTCCCATTCCAAAGCCATCAAAGACAGTCACAGAAAGACCAATTTGGATGGTCTTGATAATTTTTTAAAGTCACAAGAGAAGCAAGACATCATTAAATGATGTAAACTTGAAAAGAATTAAAGCTACCATTACAATTAATATTGCAGTTAAGGGAACAATTCTCTCTCTCTGATTACGACCACTACTAGGTGCCATTGGTCTAATTAGTAAAATGCACACAAGCAGCCTCAGGCTAGATTTCTGCAAGATGAGAATTAGACAAGAGACAATCGCCAAGAGTGCCAACTTTGACATAAGATTTTATGACTCTGATTTGCAAGTGATACACAAAGGTCTAAAAGAAGCAGTGCAAAACTTGTTACTTAAGGTAATTCTGGAGTGAATACATCTGAATACAGAAAACTCTGAGAGTTTAAAGTTGTTTCCAGTTCCAGGGATGCACAGCATGTACAGGGATACGTTCTGAAAATGTCATACTAGATTAGCTATTTGAGGTAACAATATAACCCCCATTATACTACAGTCATACACTTATTCTTACAGTAAACTGTGTGGGAAGGGAGTGCTCTTATTTCCACTGAATAGCTAGGTAGAAATAAAATGTAATGTTAGTAATGCTTTGCCTACATTTTCTTAAAGTGTACCTGCACTGAGGGCAGCCACACACTCATCAGCTTTAGATTAACTAGCTTGGTTAACAACAGAAATGTGGACATCAGTGTTCATTAGAAACTAAAAATAGCCTAAATACATTGGAGTCTAAAAGCATCTGCAATTTCATGGCTAATATTGTGCAAGTTAGATTAAATATTACCAATACAGGCAGGCCTGACTCAGGCTCTAATTTAGACCTTCAAAATGTCACCAGATATGCCTTGGAGTCTTGGCAAAAGTCAGAGAGGGAATCTATCTTGGCTACAGTTTTTAGGAATCACATCCTATTTAGCAGACTTCATACCTTAACCAAAAGACAAACATTTATTTCAGACACAGCCCTTAAAACTACATGAACATTGAATTTTGACATTACTTATGGACCAGCAAATAGGACATAGAAAATAAATAGCAGTATTTGAAGCCACTGTTTCATCACAGAAGCCAGACTTTTCTGGCCTGAGTAGAAAGCCTGATCTCTCTATTTATCTCTCTTGGAAATCTTTAAGATTATGTTCTTTAGTAGCAAAAAGTACATTGCATTTCCTATTCATCCTAAGTTTATTCACAATTCCCAGTGCTCTCCATAACAGCACTAAGAACACAAAATTGATTTTGTTTTTCTCATCCTCTACTGATAGGCAATGCTATACCCCCTTTATAAATATCCAGGGTCCCTTAGTGAGTCAAAGCACAGACAAGAAACAAGGAAAGCTCTCCTGTGTTCTAGTGTTTTCAGAACAAATCCACTTACACTTCTAGATGTGGGGATGATAAAGAAATCAATCCCACTTTTTCAACCTTTTTTCTACGCATACCAGTAGAGTGAACTTTGATTTCCAGTAAAAAAATGTCAGTGCTGGGGGAAAGCCATGTCCTAAATTCACACAAACAAAAAAAAAAAAACCACCACCATGAACAGATAGAGCTTCCTAATCAAACATCTCCTACTCATCCCACAGTCTCAGCAGCCACCCACAAAACTGACCAGGCACCAGCAGACCTGCCCACAGGGTGTTCACCCACCTCAGCCTATCTTAGCTGCCAGGACAAAACCGCCTCTAAGATACCAGAGACATAAACTGAAAAGGACTTCTAGAGATCAACCTTAGGGACCACATCTGGAAAGGAATATGCAGCTTTGGGGCTGCTAGAGCCTGAGGAGGAGGTGCCACCACCATGCCCCATGGCTGGTGAGGGCTTCTGAGCTCAATTCCCCTGACAGTGCTCTCACAGCAAATGTGTCCAGCAGGGACTAAGCCAGACCACTACCAGTGCTTGGTTCAAGATGTTTCAAATTCCTGGCCAAGTGGAGACATACAAGAGGGGACTGTTGATCCCTGCTGCTTCTGAAAGCTTCTTGTTGATCCTGGCTGCTTCTTTGGTAGCACTGTGTCCTGGTTTGAGCTAAACCAAAACCAATTTTGTTCAGCGATTTCACTTTTAAGCTCAGTCTCCTCTAAGGGACCGCACTTTCTGAAGTTAGCAGCATGTATTTTGCAGACAGTGCCTGCTACTAGAAGTGATAACACCTGATGTTTATAGTTACTCCCAGGGGTTGGGATGCAGAAAGGCTCTTGCTTATCCTTGCTCCTACAGTGACCAAGGTCACTGCTGGATCTTGTGTAACGCTCTGAGAGTGCTGGGAAGTAAAAGGGCCATGAGGAAGTAAAAGGTTGCAACTGTGGGCAGAAGTAGATAGGATGGGTGACCCAAAAGTGACCAACAAAGTATTCCATTCCATTCCATTCCATTCCATTCCATTCCATTCCATTCCATTCCATTCCATTCCATGTATTAGTCACACTAGTATAAAACTGAGGGATCACAAGAGCCAAGTCCTCTTCTTCAATGGCCAGTGGCCAAGAAGGACTTCATCTAGTTTTTTGCCCTCAATCCCGATCTGTGAGTTCCTGTCTGATACTGAGTCCAGCCTGGGAATTCCCCCATGCTGGCCTGCCCTGCAGCATCAGTGCTGACTGCCATTGGGGCAGGATTGGGTTCAATATTCATTTATGTATTGTTTTAGCTCAAACCAGGTCACAGTGCTGCCTCAGAGAAGCTCCCAGTCTCCTCTCTGCTGATCCCTCCACTTGTGCCTGGAGGCATCAGTGCTGCTGGGAAAGAGACTGTGCCATCTGATTTGTAAGAAGCCAAGATACAGAGCTGAGTGTCTTCAGTGAGCTGAGGTGGAAACGTAGCCAGGCTGCAGCTCCCTCCCCAGAAACTGATTCGGCTACATTTCAAATAGAAGGATGACAGAACAGACACCTATGATGTGTACATAAGAAAATCCTTGAGGCAGGGAGCAGTTATGTTGTTTTTTTCTTGCATTAGCATTATGGCTGAATCTGTGAAACACAGAAGTATCATTTTGGAGTTTTCAGAATATTATTCTGAAAAAAAATAAATCTGAATTTTCACGTGTAGCTTCAGGCCCAATTTTTAAATTCCATCTTAAGACACGAAAATGGAGTCCTTCTTGCAGAACTCTAGAGAAATAATTGCCAGATGTCACATGGAAAAATGTGTTCATGGCTAGAACATGAGCACTTTAGGCAAAGACGGGAAATATCATATTTGATATAATTTTACAGAAAAGTCATTTACATAAGTGGAGAAACACTTTTACACCAAATGACACTAATTAGTTTCCTAACATTTTGGGGCTCCTTTATTGCAGGGTAACGAGGATGAAAAACTCAGTGAAACAAAGTTCTTCTGGCTTTATTTTAGTGAAACATAAAGGTATGTCAAACCTAGATTCTTTCTTTGCTAAATCTCATCTGTAACTCTATATAAGCCTACAGATACATGTAGCATTACCAAAGAGTAGAGTAAAACAAGGAGAGCATTAAAACGTACCTAAAAAAAGAAATCAGCTACAACCAAATAGATGTAAAACTACCATTTTGCTATTCTGCTCCCAAATTTGTCATAAAAAAGTCAATCTTATCTTTTTTTTTAAAAAGGGACTTTGATAAATCATTTTTTTTTAATAATTTAAGAGCAAGAGCAGCAAAAAACTAGAGTTCTGGTAAATATATGTTTTTTTAAAACTAATCATTTAACACAAAAAAAAATTCCCTCCCAAAGGGTTATGCAACATTCACATTTTAGCAGATGTCCAAATATCAATATATGCAGAAAATCTGAAGAGTCATTTGAACTAAGTTCATAGTTTTCTATTGCTGCCACCTTTGAAAATTAAGTCTTGCTGTAATTCAGTAATTCTATCTTGAAATTCCAAACTCACGATCATTCAGCATTAGAAAATTCTTTTTCACTTCTCTCCATTATTTTTGAGAAATACATATCTCATCTGAACACATATTGCCTATTAATTTTCTGCTTTGCCAGAAACTAGGATATTCTTTGCAATAGCCTTTGCCAGGATCAAAGACAACTTAGATAATTTACTCTCACATAAATCAAGCCAAACACTTTATTGTAGACCATAGAGTTGGAGCTGGAAAACTAAGCTCCCATACTTGTTTCCTCATTCATCTCTTGTTTTTTGGCCCCCTTACTCCCGTCTCCCAATATGTAAAATGAGCATAATGATACCTGCTCTGTAAGCTGCTATGATGAAAATGCCAAGAAATTCTACTTGTTGCTTTTTTTTCTAGTTTTGGTTGGGTTTTTTGTTTGCTTTTTTTTTAAAAAAAAAAAGTTTGCATGTTCATTAAGGTTTCATGCAGTTTAATCTTCTTCATGTGCTGTCCGTTGCTTATCCT